GCGATTGCACGACATAGCTGAGAGTTATTCTCAGAAAAATTTAGGGGGAGAGTTATTCACAGACAAATAAAGGGAGAGAGTTATTCTTAGAAGCATTTAGGGGAAGAGTTATTCTTAGAAAAATTTAGGGGACGAGGGTCGCATTAACCCCTCTGCCCTCTCCCTTTTAGGGCCACGGTTAAGAGAGGCCAGAACCATCACCCCTATCCAAGTTAACCTAACAAAATACCACATTTCCTGTCGTAAACGGTGTGGAGACGCAGATAAACCCCTGCTGATCATCATCCTATTTCTCTTCCACGATCATTGTGAGGCTGTAATCCTTTTATTTTAAAGATAAAATGATACCATCCGACGGATCTCTTATTTTTATGCGCGTGTGCTCCATAGAAGGCGTCTGATATAGATGGTTTTGTTTGGAAACGAGGTTTAGAGGTGAACACGCTCCGAGGGATATATTATCATCTCAAAGTTTCAGCCCGAGCCATTTGGTTTGTGTAGCGCTTCTTCGTCTTGCTACACCTCCGCTCTTGGTTCACCTAAACGCCATCTTGGCATAAACCCCGATATTTTGAGTTTAGCGAATAACAACGAAGGCGCATCGTAATTCAATAGGCCAACTTGCATCACTTTGACCCTTGGTCCACGCGACTACTCCGGCCCGGGCCGGCCCATCGCACCCCACCCCGCTGGTGACCTGCGCACTGACGGCCGCCCTGGCTCCACGCGACAGCTCTGCCTTGCAGCAGCTCCCATGCAGCACGCTGCGCCGCCGAGCACATCCGCAGGCTCCGGCGGCGCGTCGCGGAACACGGTACGCCCTCCGAACTCTGCACAGTCTGAGACACTACAGGCTCTGAGCACCCGCTATGGCTGTACTTGCATCCCTGTCTGTCTGTCTCATTGCGACTTTACGACGCACTCAGCTGCTGAGGCCATATGGTGTCGCCTGCCTCTCACCCTGGCAGGAAGGGCGGGCGCCGCGTGGAATCGAACCCCGTACATGGTTCATTGATGCATTGCTACAAGACAGGGAGCAGTTTTCATTGAACACAGCCTTAGCTTTCTGCAAATTCTCGACGACAAATTTTCCCCGCATCATGGGGCAGTATAGCGTGAGATTATGATGTTCTAAAATGTAGCCACTTTACGCAATCTCAGTTTTTCCTTTCCGATTCGACCTGGTCGCTCATTTGTCCGGGTTAGCCCGCTTCGCGCCCACGGGGCTCCATCGTCTAAGGCCATGGTTGTCACGCCTGTCGCATTCATGCACGAAGGCTTCAGATACATGTTCCACCATATTGTACTTTTATGTGAAACGTAGTTAAAGTATCGGTAGCCAGTGCCCTGACCCCGCCGTTTCACCCAATTCTACCTTGCCCACCGGTCCCGAAGAAGCAGCACGCAAACCGAAGCAGTCACGGAGGCCAGCCAGCTTGGCTGATTCTCCATGTCCGCCGGCATCATGTGACGCATCGGCATCGGTTAACGGAAAAGAGCCAGAAACCAAACGGCTTAGACTGGAACCCGGCGGGAATCCTGCTGACTACTTCAGTCGTATTTGGCCATTGGGTGTAACCATCTAAAGCATTCCTTTTGTCGACATACGCGAGCTTGTAAATGTATTATATGAATGTATTTTGTAAATGTATTGTGCATTTTGTCGTTCCGATCGGTCTCCCAGGCATGTGGCATAACTACTTGCCAGTATTCACATAGGCTTATGCCACGCAGGCGCAGACGCGTTTTCGACATTCCTTCCGAATGTCTGAAGTGGACACCATTGGGATTAGAATTTGGACCAAGATTCAATTCGAGCCGGAGGCGAAGTTGCCCCATTCTTACCCCTCGAATGGCGAATACGCATGGCGCCATGCGCCATACGTATTCATTGAAGTTCCATGTCCCGCACTAATTAAGTGATGCGTGGATGGGACGTACCGAGTGGCGATCAAGCCCATTCTAAAATATTCCATTTCGAGGAGATCTTCAGAGTATTTTTGGGTCACAAGTGATCAGATCATCAGCAGCCTGAAATGCGAATAGCCTCTACACATCGGCGCACAGGTCAGCGTAACGAGAAAGGAAGGTTTACTTGGCATACTAAGTCGATGATGAATGATGGTCTGATAATTCGTTATCACCAAAATATTGCAAAGGCTAGTTTTGCTGAAAACCTGACCTGGGTTTTATCGCATCTCTGGTCCGTCTTACGAGACTTCACTAACACGGTGCCGCTCACGCGAGTATGATTAATCTCCAGTCGAATTAGCCTCAGCGGGGGACCTCGCAAACATGTCCAAGAAATGACATCTTTTGCTGTTGCGGCTGTGACTTTCTTGTTATCGAGATCTTCCGCAGAAATGTTGCTGCAGAAGATTGAATAAATGGAGACCTGTGACAAAACGCAGCGAGCCATAAACCAGGCTCACACATGTGTGCGTGTTGCCGATTGTTTGTTCGGACATGATGCCAAATAGCTTGGGCTATTTTACCCTTTTGAATGGGCGTGCTACCAAAGCAAACCACGTTAAGAGGTGGAGTAAATGTAATTATTAGAGCGCACTTCCACTCGTATGAAGCATACAGGGGCTGAGCAGCTGTACAGCTAACGTTGTTCTGGCGAAAAAGAGCGTTATCGCGCATACATGTTGCATTCTGAACCTCGGTTAGGATATCCATTATTCCACCCCTCATGTCACTTTGAAGTTAAACATAGCAACGCACATAAACGCATCCAAAACGCGACATACGTGGCTCGACACTCATAGTGGCTAAACAGACAGATGGGGACCGAGTACTGTCGGTCTCGCGCACAGGAACGGACCGAGCACAGCCGGCCTCGCGGGTAGGCAGACCGAGCAGGCCGCAATGTGGGCAGATACGGACAAAGCACGGCCGACTCCGTAGACAGGTACAGACTGCGCGCGGTGAAATGTGGATATTTGCGGACCAGGCACAGCGTATCTGGAGCATCTAGTGCAAAACATTATCTGCGGAAGACACCGGCTCGCCGCGCTCGCCACTCACACTGCCGGCGGCGGCACGACCACGGGGTGCGAGGCCGCGTAAGTTCGAAGTGTGTTGCGAAGACTGGCCGCTTTGGCTTGCCGCGTACATCGTCATTCTCGTCGCTAAATTGTACGCAATCGGCTCGCTGATCATATGCACCTGCCGCTAAGTGGTTGCGGATATAGAATGGGCATATGAGCATTTCCATTCTGTTTTCTGTCATGTGAGCATTATAAGCTCAAATTCGCTTAACATCCGGAGCATCGATGCTTATGACATTGAGTGGTAAATTATTTTTCGATTCTTAAATTGTCTGTGTACGTACTGACCGACTGCCACTGAGCAAAATCGTCACACTTAATGAAGACTCAATGGAAATGATATTCTTAGAGAAGTTTGTGGACTGAGTGGAGCACCATTTGGAGCGTTGGGGTCGACGGAAGACTGGGATTAAGAAGACTAGGCGAGCGCGGGTACCAGACCATGTCAACGTCAAGTCAGGCCAAGTCAAGAGCACACCCCGTGGCTGACGGCTCACCTTGGCCACTCCTGGGAAACTCCCGAAATCGAGCTCGGAGGATGAGAGCTCATGGAGTTTCACCGCGGCGCTTGTCCCGTAATCGTCCGCGGCTACAAATGTCTCCGCATGTTCAAACGACTCGGTGCCCGGTTTTCACCGCAAGCTTGAGCTCAGACAGTCACATGCGGGAAGACCGAGCAAAGGTGGAGCGGGAGATGGGTCGTTACGATGGTTTTTCAGTCATGGAATGTTAACAGTTGTAGTCAGTCAATGAAGACTGGTGTGGTCACTGGCTAATACGCACACCGCAAATCTCTGCCTTCTTACGGCCACCACTCGAATCCAGACCCTGCTCGCTCGGCAAAGAAAACAAATCCGAAAAAAATGTTAACAGTGGACCCAGCAGCAGCACTACGATGGCCAACATGGTCACGGTCACGGTCGCGGTGTGACACCGCCCAAACATGCCTGTCGTTCTGCGCACCAGGGTCCCACGCTCGGGCCAGCGGCCGAATGGCGCGTCAGACCGCCCGCTCCGCAATCTGCATACCGTTGCACATGCCACTGGGTCGGCCGCCGCTGGGATAAAGGCGACCGAGCGCCGGCCGCGTCATTGCACAGGCTCACCCGGTCGACAATCATGTGGATCCGCACGCTGCTCCTCGCGCTTTGTGCGGTCGCGGCCGCTGAGGCAACTGCTTTACTTCTGTCGATGGCCAAACGGACGAATTACTGCTGCGACGAGGCTCGCCCGGGGGAGTGGCCGCCGAGCAGAAACGGCGTGCTTAGAAAGATCCGCCCTTCCGGAGCGGTGCTGCACGGACGGCGACTGTGACTCACCAACAGATAAGTGCTGCTTTGACACCCTGCGTCAATGCGCGCGTCTGCAAGGCACCCATCACCGAAGTAATGATCGGGTGAGTCGGCCGGTGCCGAGAGAAGCCGGTGGGCCAGCTGGTGGGGGGGGGGGAGGGGGGACGGGGACGGGGTCAGGGCGAATTTGCTAAGAGGTTAAGTGGAAAACAAGTGTGGCGTAAAGGCGCGACTGAGGAGGAAATGCTAGCTTGGATGGTTTCGTGCAAAAAGTCCTTGTTGTGTCTCTTCCTATAACTTGTTTGAGCTTGCTGGTCATTATGATGACTAGAAGAATGTTTGTTTTCATTTGCCTAGACCGAAAGTAACAGTTCGCTGCCAAACCTTCGAATGCAGTCTCAGCACTGCCTTCGTTATGCTCTTCTCATGTGTATGTAGGTTGGTGGTCTGATACTAATGCTTTTTTTGTTGTGTTGTACTTCCGGCATTGATACTGGATATTGTTGGGTTTCATTGACGTTCTTGATATGGATATTGTTTTCACCTGCACGCCGCGTCAGTGGCGCGCAGTATGACTTGCATAACCTCCACGCTCCGCTGCGACAACCTCTCCGCCGTCGTCACGGCTGTCACCACCCGCCGCTGTTTTTCGCAGAGGAGCCTGGCGACGACGGACGCGGGGCTGCAGGGTGAGGCATCGCCCCTGCCGTCCAACCGTCCGCCGGTGGTGACCCGGCGACGCCGTCGAGGCTGCGGCTGCCGCGACCCTGGCCCGGCCGACGGTCCCCCCGCCAGCCCTCGTCGTCGCGTTGTGGTGAAGTGTCGCACGTCGCACTGTGCAGCTGTAATACACGACTCCATTCGATAAAGTCGTGGAGCTGGTTATCGGTGCATGCAGCTGCCAAGGACATTGGCTTCGCTCCGCACTGGTGGAAGGCCAAGCCGGATAGGCCACCGGTGGGTGTCATTGGGTCCTCAGTTGGGCCTTGGTGTCTACTGACACTGCCGGCGCGAGACGAGGCAGGCCTCTCCATCGCCTGTACTGGCATCGCTAGTGAACAAGTTCAGAGTTATCCTGTCGGCAGGGCCGGCGCTACCAGCCGTGCGTAAGACCAGCGCATGAGTCAGGGCTAGGCTTCTCCTCACAGCAGGGGAGAACGGTTCGGAGCCATTTTGTGTGACGTTCGCAAACCGGGCAGAAATCAAAAAATTACATTTTCTGGAAAGGGTGGAAGAGATCGGATTTCCCTTCTCCGACGACATGTGGAACTGTAAAAGTTTGAAACACTGCCTTTGGAGGGTACTGGTAGCGTGGCGCATCAGCTGCGTGTCTGGAAACCCGAGATACGAGTTCGACTCTCGATTCCCGTCCTTCCTGCCCAGGTAAGAGGCAGGCGGCGCCATCATAGCCCCAGCAGCTGAGTGCGTCATAAAACCCCAGTGACCAAAAGTTTAGAGGGTGGTTGGGTGCAATTTGCAAGTAAATGTATGAGTAATTGATGAAATCTGGCGTAAATTAAACTACCACCGCCAATGAACGAGAGTCTAACGTCCATACCGCGGCGTGCTTCCACTTGTCATCTCTGGAAGTTCAGAACTCAATGTCTTCTTTCATTCTGTAATTTATTTGATAAACGTTTCGCAAAACGACAAGCGAGCCTTTAATTTGCTGACAGATATGAAAATATCCGTATCCTTATCCTTAGTTTATATTACTCATGTATTTGTGAACACACGACGCGTGAAATGGATTTTATCCCCATGCTAGAGCGCGTGTTAAGTACCCACTCGATCTGTAGCCAATGGCGCACAATATACCGTGCCCATTAGAAGACTTCGCGCATTAAATATATCCGCGGGCTACAGATGTGTTCACGGGTCTCATTGAAACGGTCCACAAGGGTCCACTATGACGAGCGTCAAAGCCGGGCCAGATGTCAAAGTTGACCGGTCCAGACAGACTGGGCCGATTGACAACCAGCTAAACTAAAATAACCACTGGCTGACCATTGAAATGCTGGATTGAAATATTACGTCGCAAGAGACATTCAGACCATCCACAGACTTATGCTACTGTACCTAACAATGTGCAAACCGTTTGCATAGCTCATTCACATATTCTACTTGATTACGTTTTGATGAATGTATGAAAGCACATGACGCTGAGTAAATTGTATAGAATGACAACACTATAAATGCGGCTTGCAACCAAGCTTTTATCCCAACCAGATAAGCTAACTGCCTTTTAATAACAAACATGTCTTATTGCACAAAAACTACCAAACAACCTGATCTAGTCCAGCAATGTCATGCAACCTATCTGTCAGACATTGCAGCCTGGTTTGAAAAAAATTGACGTTTGTTGCTAGAAAGCAAGCGATGAAATTGTTAAATTCCCTCTTGTGTGACCGAAAATATTTAGATGTGATCCGCCGGGTACATCATTCCTGAATTGTATCACATGCATGGCAGTTTCTGTGTACTTATCTTTACAGCATGGGCACAGTCAAATCCTTGGTAAGGGGAGGGAAATGAGAAAAAAAGAGAGGGGAGAGAGTCAAAAAAAAAATTCCCCTGGTTGTGAAAGCCCTCCCCCCAAAATCAAATCCCATGCTATGGGTCACTTGGCTTTGAGGGCATGAATTCTCTCCTGGTTTTAATTTTCACCTACTTAACTGCAACAGAAGCCAGAAGCTACTGGGAGACGCACTTCAGTGTGCATTTTGAAGGCAATGACTGGACGAAGCGGGAGGTAGCAGACTGCATGGGATAAACTGAAGGCGACATTAATTTTACAATCTTTCAGTGGACGTTTTCTGCGCCTATAGACTCAAAAGTTTTGCCACAACTTTTTTGAGTTCTACAAAAATATTGAGGTTTCATGAACGCAGATTTTGTATCGAGTTAAGGTCAAAAACTTGCATTTACCAACGCTCCAATGGCGATATTAAACCTTCAATCAGAATCGATCACGAAAAAATTACGTAACATGGCCATGAGCAAACACATTCGCAAGTCCTGGGAACAAAACCTCGACGCCCGGCTTTGCAGTCTCCATAGACTGCGTGGCGCGGGTTTCGCGGGCTCAAAAAGCTGCGACCAGTGAGGGAGCGAAAATGATATTGCATTTGAAAGAACCATTTTTCAATTCTTAAGAGTACTGATGCGCACGTTTAGAAGGTAATCCAGGCGTATATTTCGCCTCACGGTTTGTAGATTGGTAGAAGGAACAGACTGCATTAACGGCACCGTGAGCTGGTCCTGGAATCTGTTGGCGGAACAAAAAGTGTAAAGGTAAAATATCAAAATTTGTGTCCCTCGAAATGCTTATCTGTCCAGAGGACATCCTCCAAATAATGCAGGTCAATTATACGCTACATTCTAATCTTTTAACGGTGCAAATGCAGCTTGAAAGGCTTTCGGATGCAATATGTCACGATAGTCGCTCTCGCGCGCCCGGCGGAACTATATAATTTATTGTCATCTTTTACAATACCTTTTAATAATAATAAGACCACATGCCTAACATATGTGGTCCGGTCTTGTCCTGCTTGGGATAGGGTGGTCAGGTCAAGACCGGCCCGGGGCCGTCTGATCGGAGCTGGTGCTGCTGACCCACATAGGGGCCCTCAACGACTCGGAAGGCCCAATCAGCGCAAATGACTCTCCGACTGGCATTTGAGGGCCCAGTCCGCAGGACTGAGTCCCTTAATAAGATCTCAGGCCATTGGGCACTTGACCGTTGGTAACAGGGCCCATAGAGCCTATTGAGGACCTGAGGGGGCACGTGCCGCTGCGCCCTCTCCCCCGCCCGCATTGCTGCTTCACAGGCAGGTTTATAATCTTAACGCCAGAACCGTGGTGATTTTGCCTGCCGGTGGAGCCTCACCTTTCTTAAGCTTTTTCCGGAATTCTTTGTGAGCGATATCGGTCGTCGTGCTCAAATTGCAAGTGCCTGAGTGTTTATCATTTTGCACAGGCTGGAGAGACATAGGGTTTCTGACCTCGACGATCCGTGACATAATACACCTTTCTCACTATCACTTTAAGAAAAACATTTGTTGCTGATTTTTGAATAGCATTGGATATCCCACTTTAACTTAAAGGAAATTCAATTCATCCCTCCAAAAGATGTAAAGCTGTCCCGTAAACCCTGGCCAACGGTTTTATGTTTAACCGTTAATTTTACTCTTTTTGGCTTTACAGGGTAAGAATCAGGGTCTAAAGTAATTTCGTTAACTGAATGATAGATGGCTATCTGCATGGTCCCGGTTAAAGTATCTTGCCATTTCAGAATCAGCTTCTAGGTACATATTAAGACTACGAAAGCACTGGATGGGCAGAAAATATAACATGTTAACGCGCTATTGACCATTTCAGAAATAAGTTGGTGTTTGGCCTGAGAATTATATCGATGGATTTTTGAACACAACATCCTCATGCGTATCGGGATCGGTTTTTTTCGGAAATTTTCGGAATTGGTGGTGTCTGACATCTCTAGTCAAAGCACACCGACAAACGTTGACTCACTGCCGTCCTCCGCTGGCGAGGCGGAGGTGAAAGCGCTTGATTCGAGGCAGCGATGGAATAAACACTTAAGGCATCTGCACATAACCCGACTAAGAAAAACGTGTACCGAAATTCGACGTCATCTGAAAATGCGCTCAACGGGCGATAAAATCCTCCTTCTCACCGGCTCAGCCGTTTATGATGGCCCCTCAATGCCCGTCTAAGTCTCGTCAATGTATGTGAGCAAAAGGGGACTGCTGGGCCAAAGAATTACAGCCAAAATGTATAAGCTGCTGGCATGCTAAGTACTCAGGCACATCACTTCTAGGATCATAATATGTTTTGTCGAATAGAAGCGTCATGCTATCCTATAAAT